TCCATTTATGTGATAAGCACTGAGTAATGTATAGAACTACAAAACAACTGTGATGCCAGTGAAAACCTCAATGAAACTTAAACAAAGAAGAAACAAAAGGGGATTTACACTGGACATGGAAATTTATGTTTGTCTTAAATTTGAACTTCTTCCAGTTTGCCAAAGGGGTCCTTAAGGGTAGCCATTATACTAATAAGATAATTGAAAGTTCTTTATGAAATATATCTATTTAAAAATATACCAAATTTAAAGGATCCATCCTTTGGCCATTGATGGATATCATATTACTAGGAACCCAAACCAGTAAGACTTTTCGTGACTTAACTCAGGTCCCAAGAGGTTACCAGAGAGGGCAGAGGTGATGCAGCCTCCATGATCCAAAAGTTTACTCCTGACATTGGACTAAGAAAGCAAAGGACTTCAGTGCACAGGTGATAAGATGTGTTGTGGAAATGGTGTCTCCAGTCTCCCACAAAAATGTGAGACACCTCCAGTCACAGACCCACGAAAGAGTGACATCCACTGGTGCTTCTGGAATCACTTTCCAGCACTGACAAGCAATGAGGGTTGAGACACGAAGGTTTCCAATGCCACGAGAGCTGGCACAACCTGACAAAGTGAAAGCGACTTGGGTCCCTGGTCTATTTCGCCACCAAAGTGTGCCCCAGGAAGTGCCCCCTCTGGATGGTGGAGACGAAAGAGAAGAAACTCTCACTGGTCATAAGCCAAACTCTTGGGAAATAAAACTAAACAAAAGAATAAATCTCCCAGCTTTATCGAAGCCTTGGTTCTCTGGGAGCCACAATAACCTAGTAGGGATGTGTCATGGGGTTGGGGACTGTGCATTGTTTACAGTGTACCTGCTCTCATGGAAGTTTCTGATTCTGGTGGGTGACCTAGTGTCAGTCTATCTATTCCATGACCAGCTCATCCTGTCATGGGAATCCTCTTCGGGTGGCAAGAGTTCGAACAGTTTTTATTTATTTTTTATTTTTTAAAAAATTTTAAATAGTTTATTGTCAAGTTGGTTTCCATTCAACATCTAACAGCTTTTATTAAATGCTCGACTTGTGTTCATCAATTTTGTAGCTCTGGCTTCCAAGATGTCTCTTAGCAACAGATGACAGAACTGATATAGACAAAGGAAAACAAAGACCATTTTTGGGGTGAAATGGATCAGTAACGAAAGGACACTCAACCAAACTGAATTGGTTGAACCAAAAATCCACAAAGCCCAAGGAACTAGTTTCATAAGAATTTTCCTCTGCTCATCTAAAGGGAGAAAAAGAGATAGAGACTCACACCATGTTCGTTTCCTTGGTCTCAGCAAACAGCCATTCCAGGAGGCTGACATGGAGAGAAATCTTATCTTCTGCCAGTGATCTCTCAGATGTCTTAGAGATGTCTCAGCTGTGGCAGAGTCCCGGGTGAGTGGCGTCCAGCTAGTGCTGCTGACTATACCAACTAACTGTCGGGGAGGAAGAATGTCCCATCCCCTTTTCAGGAAGCAGTTCCTGGGTCCTTCAAGATCCTTCTAGCCCAACTAAGAATCAAATTGATATGAGATGGATTAACAGGAGAAATTAAAATTTAATAGCATGTGTGTGGGGCCCCACACAGACATGGTAGTCAGGCATAAAGGGTATAAATGTCATTTTGAATTAAGGAAAAAGATGTAGGACTTAAAAGGGAAGGAAAGGATTTCCCAGGAAGATGAAAGCCAGTAAATGTTTGTAAACAAATGTTTGCCCTGCCATGCAGTTAGGTTACTCAGATAACATTTATCCCTTGTAATAACCCTTATTCTGCAAAAACCCTCCAATTGAGATTCTTGTATGTAATTAAGGGAAGGGCAAAATTTTTTCTGGAGCCCACAGGGTGTCAACTGACTTTAGCTCAAAATAATCTTCTTGCCAAAGTGGCCCATCTTAGGACAGCCTGCCTTCAGCCACTATACCTCTGTGTTGGCATGTGAGAGCTGCGCCTTCTCCTGGAATTGGGGCCCCAGTGAACCCTGGGGCTTCTGCCTACAGCCATGAAGCTATGAAGGGATGGTGGGAAGGAATATTGGCCTCCCCTCAAACTTTTCCCACCCTTTCTTTCTTAAGTTTGATTGAGGTGTAATTGGGATAAATAAACCACATATACTTAAAGCACACAGTTTCAAACGTTTTTCTTGTTTTTACTACTTGTCAAATTTTACATATAGCACAACTTTGTGGTGGTGTTCGGTTCTATGTGTTTAACGCATGCATCATTTCACGGAACCACCACCACAAGCATGCAAAGCAATGGTAATCACCTCGCTGGAAAGGTCTTTAACTCTGACTTTGGTTTCATTCTTGGCAGGCAGTCCAGCTGGTGGGGTGGGACCTCAAGTGCTGATGTGGCTTCTGTGGACTGTGGTTCCCACGTGCGCTGGTCCGGCTTTCTGGAGCCTTGCAGGTGCTCCTCGGATGTGCCACTTGAACGCCATCCAGTGGAGTTCTTCATCAAGTTCTCAACATGGAGTGTTTCTCCAGGGTTTGATCAGGAGTGTACAGCTGGGGGGCTAGCTTGGGAGGTCTAGTATCCCTTTATTCAGCTGCTTCCTCTTCTCCATCCCCCCAATACCGCGCCCAGCTCTCAGAGCCTCCAGTTCTTCCCATCCGGGTTCTTTGGTTGGGAAGCTTGGAGAGTGGAGGCTTTGCTCTCCCAATATGCTTCGTACGTCCTGTGATTGGGTTTGCTTCTAGGTGCAACAAAGAGGGAGAAGATGGACTGGTATTTCTACCACCAGACATTGGGACTCTAGCTCTTCTGGGCTGGGAGGACTCTCCTCCTTCAGAGTTCCAGCTGTCGACCCCCAGCGGCTTCACATGGAATTGCAGCTTCTGTCCTGTGGCTTGCTCAGGACCTGTGGAAGGGAAAGAAAACACAAACACCAAGAAAACTCTGGGCATCTGACCCCCATCTCCCTTTAGGGCTTCCCTTTTCCTCTCCTCTGGAGCACTTAAGATCCCTGCTGAGCATGCATTTTCAGAATGTGGGCTGCAGGGTTCACACTCAGGCAGGAGAATATAGAAGGAAACATAACCAGAAAACACACAGCTGGATTGGTCTGGTTTCTTCCCCAATCTCTTACTAGGGTTCATTTTGCAAAATACTCAGATAGCAGCTCCATGTATTCTGCCTGAGTTCTTAGATATAGTCAGGGGGAGAGGTCTGTGGAGTGTGTTGACTTCATCTTACCCAGGCTAGAAGCCTGCAGCATAGGTTTGCAAGAGTAATAAGCTAGAAACAGAATCAACTATCATCCATACAGGAATAGTTAATTATACTACAGTCACACAATGAAATAGGCTGCTATTTAAAGGATTGATAAGCACATATGTGATGGCTTGGAAAATTTTCATGGTAAAACTTAAAACCTTTTTATTGGAGTATAAAATACACTCAGAAGGTGCACACATCAGAAGTGCACAGCTCAATATATTTACAGAAATAAACACTCCGTGGAACCAGTCCCTAAATCAAGAGAGAAACCTTTCCAGCCCTCAGGAGGCTCTTTAACTTAATAAAATATATGTGGAAACCAAGGGAACTAAACAGGATGCTGGAGGCCACCTTTAAGCCTCTCCACTGTGGTATTTAGAATACCCCTCTGCGGCTTGTGGGAAAGCATAGCCTGTAGGTCAAGAAGGGATGGAAGGCTCAAAGAATTAGGCACCACACAACACACCTACTTCACATGGTGTTTTGCACCCACATGTTCAGAGCCCCAATTAGCTATGTTTTGGCTCAACCTCACTTACAATCAGAAAACCAACAATGATCAGACATTTGAGTCAAGTGTGTGATATAAAAGGGAAGGACCAAACAAGACCAGACCAAATAAGACCACAAGTGAGGAGAGTTTTCAAAAACATCTGCAAACAGAGAACAGAATAGGAGCTTTTGAAATAAAAATATAATTCCTAGGGCTCTGGGTGGCTCAGCCTCTATCTCTCTGTCTCAAAATACATAATGATTTTTAAAAAACGTAATTCCCAAACTAAATATTTCATCTAAAGATTGGAAGAGCAAGTACAAGCACAGAGCACAACAACACTACCCCCAAAAATTACAACCAAACTCACAAACAAGGAAAACATAGATGAAAAAAGGAGACAAAAGAATTGATTCAGAAAGAGGGGTAAAGGGAGCAGAGGAGAGTCATAGGAGAGGACACCTAAAGGAAGAGGAGACACTTGTGTGAAAGTCCCTTAGGAATCATTAGCATAAGTTGTTTGGGGCTGGGAAGTGGCCAACAGCCCACACCCAGGGGAAATCTGCCAAGGGGTGACAGAGGAAGAATCTAGGGCACAATGAGGCTGACAGGAAAAGGCAACTTCTCCTTCTTTATAATCTCTCCATGGCACCTCTGCCTTAGAGGGACTCAGGACCTCTTTGGGAAGCCTGAGATGGAGAGGAAGTGGGTCAGGATCTGTGCTGGACCAGAGCCCAGGGTGGGAGAGGTGGTCTGGGATGCACCAAGGTGGGCTTCCCAGAAGGAGGTTCAAGGTGGGGCTGAATGTCCAGCGAGGCTGGGTGTGAGTCCTGAGCACTGATTCTTCCTTACATGCAAACTCAACGTGTTCCCATCCCTGCCTTGGACCCAACTGTAAGGTTCTGGTGTCCCCTCCCTGCTGGAGTGTGTCACCTGGTTTGCTGGCAACTGGCTCCCCAGATCCTCATGCACAATTGCAAGTAGCACCCTGGCCAGTGGGATGCTTGGCTTCTCCAAATCATTGAAGACACATGATCACATCAGCCATATGCTCCCAAAGGACAGCATTGTTTTTCTCCTAATGAATGAAATTAGGAAGTAAGTGAAGAAAAAAAATAAGGGAAGTAGGTGAGAGAAACTAAAAAAATTTATTTAGAAAAAAGCAAGCACTTTGCCTCTGAGTTCAGTTCAAGTCCCCAGAGGGCAACTGGCATTAGCTGAGCATCAGGGAGACAACCCAGGCAGGCAGGATATGTGGCTGTTCCTGGTTCTGTTCCTTCCTGTCGTCCAAGGTGAGTGGCATGGGGCCTTCAGGACTGAGCACATTTAGGATCTGGGCAGACACTGAAAGCATCTGTCCCACAGGGAAATCACAGAGCTTTTCATTAATCCAGACACTTTATCATTAAAAAACTATTTTAAAATCTTTGTTACCTGACGGGTACTAAGTTAGGTGTTGGGGAAAGAAAATAAAAATAAATAACACAAATGTTTTTTAGGGCACTGTTTGTTGTCCCCGGCAGAGAGATCGATAGATGACAGATACACGGATGGATAGATGGATGGATGGACAGATGGACAGATGGATAGATGATAGTTAAATGCATGAATTCCTGAGGAATTTTTAAGGAGCCCAACCTCTAGCTGAGACCCAATTAGTCAAGGTAGGGTTCAGACATCTGGATCATTCAAAAGCCCGCATAATTGATCTTGGCTTGTCCCTCAAGGCAGTGAACCTCTCTTCTGAAGAGCTAGAGTACAGGTAGGAAGATGCCAGAAAAACCTGAGTGTTAGAGGATCTCTAGAGAGTTGCTCATCTGCACATATCAGTCACCCTGAGTCTCTGCTTTGGATTATCCAAAGACCTGTCTTCCAGCGTCGTTAGCGCAACAACTGAGACACTTTGAGTGGTGTCATTGGGAACGGAAGACCAGAAATTAGAAGGAGTTTATTTGTGGGCTGGAAGTCACAGCCTTGGAGGCAGCTAGTACTTGATGCTAAGAAAGGATAGGAGCTAATATAGGACCATTGGCTGCCCCAGCTCTGCTCCCTATCATTTGACAGAACCACAGCATGTGGGAGTGGATGCAGAACATGTCTCTTCTGGGAAGGAGGTTATCATGGAAAATAAAATGACCTCCTTTATTCATCCATTGACTTTGTCATCATGCATGTAGAAGAGAAAAACTCTGATAGGGAAAATTCTGGCAGACATTTTTGGGAAAATTTGCATATAATTATGTTCTTAATGTGGAAGTTCATGTGGGGATAAAAGGGTTTCAAATGTATATTAGTCATAGTGACATACCACAGACTGAGTGGCTTAAACTATAGAAATTTGTTTTCTCACATTCTGAAGGCTGAGGAGTCAAAGATCAAGGTGAAGGCTGATTCACTTGGTGATGAAAACTCTCCTTCTGGTTTTCAGGCACTATATTCTCATGGTGACCTCCTCTTTGTGCATAAGCAAGGAGAGAGAGACAGAGACAGAGACAGAGAGAAAGAAGAGAGAGAAAGTCTCTGGTGTCTTTATTTATAAGAACACGAATCCATCCTGAGGTTCCTATCACGATCTCATCTAACCACAATGTCTTTCAAAGGCATCATCTTCAAACACCATCACAGGGGAGGTTAGGACTTCAACATGTGAATTCTGGGGCAACAAACATCAGTCTTTGACAACATAGAGACAGAATTGATCAAGGGGCAAACAAGACTAGCTGTTGTCAGTTTGACATCACTACCAACCCATCTAAGCCTTCTTCTCCTTCACTAAGCAGAATCCTGGAATCACATCTCCCCCAGTCGCCTTCTTTCTGTAGGTTTGTCCATGGCAGTACTTGTCAGAGATTTGGAGGGTGAGAGAGCAGCCTTACACTCTGGAGGCAGCTGAAGGGCCTGTGGGTGGGTGACAGATCGGGAGTGACTTCTGGTCAAGCTCTTGGAAACACTTACTCTGTTGGTGAAGACTGAGATCATTGGTGGGAGTTTCTCAGGGACTTCTCAGAATCATAGCAGCTTCTCATGGGTCTTGAGCAAACCCATTCTGGAGCTTTTGGGTGTAAGCACAGTGTCAGCTTCCCTTCCCATGAGTCAGTGCAAAGACTAAGACATAGCTCTTACAGAAACATTTTTCACTGGCCAAAAGGTGAAAAGAACCCATATATCATCAACTGATGAGTGAGAAACTAAATGTGGCCTATCCCTACCAAGGACTGAAGTGCCCACATACCCTACTTCATGGATAAACCCAAACAATAATTACGTTAGGTAAATGAAGCCATGAAAAAAGGCCATTAATTGTATGATTCCATTTATATGAGATATCCAGAAGGGAGAAATTTATAGACAGAATGTAGATTAGTGGTTTCAAAAGCTTCAGGCAAGAGGGAAGTGAGGAGAGACTGGGTGTAGAATTTCTTTCTGAGGTGGCGAAAATGTTCTGGAATTAGAGGCAGTGTTGCACAATTTCATGAATATCTGAAAAACTGCTGCACTATATACTTAAAATTTATGGTATGTGAATTATACCTCAATTTTTAAGTTGGACAAAAATAAATCCTTAGCCTTAAAGAGTATTTTTTCATTTTAGAAAGGAACAAAATTATCAGTCTTTAACTTAGCAAATTGGAAAAAGAGCACGATGGTAATCTTGAGGAAATAAGAGAAATAAAATTATACATATGAGAAATTAACAACTTAGGAAATAAAAACAGTAATATTTACAAGCTAATCTCAAACTGGGTTAATGTGCAAAAACAAAGAAGAGGGAAGGAGAAACAGGAAGGAGGACATCTTGCAGCATGTGTAATCAAGAAAAACCAAGCAGTGCCAGTTAGTCAGAATGTGTAGTTATAACAGATACGAACATTTGAATTATTTTTTAAACTTTATTTATTTATTTTGGAGAGAGAGGGGGTGGAGGCAGAGAGTGGAAGAGAATATCAAGCAGGCTCCGCTCTGTCAGCACAGAGCCCAGTGTAGGGCTCAGTCTCCGGAACTGTTTTATCATGACCTGAGCAGAAACCACAAGCCTGACTGAGCCACCCATGTGCCTCGAGATATAAACACTTTGATTATGAAAGGAATTTCTTTCTTTTAAAAAATATTTATTTATTTTGAGAGAGAGAGAGAGCGCACATGAGCAGGGTCGGGGGGGAAGGAGAGAGAATCCCAAGCAGGCTCTGTGCTGTCGTGTAAAGCCTGATGCAGGGCTCAGTCCCACAACCCTGAGATGAAATCAAGACTTAGAAGTTCATCTGACCGAGCCACCCAGGCACCCATGAAAAGTACCTTGTAATTGCAGGACATTATGCTAATACGCAGTCCGTGAAACAGGTAACTTTCTTGGAAAAACAAACCAAAACAATAAGCAGATTCAAGAACCACGGAAGAACTTGTATATTCAATATTCTCAGGAAAAGAATTTCCAAGAATCAAAGGATTTGTCCCAATAATGAATTTGCCACATAGTTTTGTAGATAATAACACTTAAAGACACAGAAATTCCTTTGCTCTATGTATGTGATGATCTCCAGTGTTTTAACATAGTGAGGTCCACACAACACCCAGGTTCCTGGCTACTCTTGAAAAATGAAAAGATCTGGGACACCTGGGTGGCTCAGTCGGTTGAGCATCCGACTTTGGCTCAGGTCATGATCTCACGGTTTGTGGGTTCGAGCCCCAGGTCAGGCTCTATGCTGACAGCCAGCTCAGAGCCTGGAGCCTGTTTTGAGTTCTGTGTCTCCCTCTCTCTCTGACCCTCCCCTGTTCATGCTATCTCTCTCTCTCTCTCTCAGAAATAAATTTAAAAAAAAAAAAAAGGAAAAATGAAAAGATCTGAAACCACAGAGCTAACATCTTGCATGATGGCAGTGGGCTGAAGTGTACTGGGGCCATTCTTTTCCTTGGGTCATTTGCTCTCACAGGGAGAGGGAGTGGATTATAAGATGTTGCCATTGCTCAGTGTGGACGTTTTTGATTCTTTGAGATCTGTAGTTGTTCTCTTAAGTGATTTCTGTGATGGCTTTGACCCAGTAGAGTTTTGAAGGACAAAGGTCTGTCTTGTGGAAGTTCTATTACTTCTTTGACTGTTATTCAACTCATCAGGTACTTGGGTTTATTGGAATTATTTATGTTACAGGAGGCTGTGGTTTTTCATCAGGCAATGGAGTGTGGTGGTGACAGGCACATGTATTTGTGTTTTTCAGGCTCATATCCCCTCAGGGCGGTGTCAAATGCAGTCAGTGGCCCTCTGCGGGGCTCACTGATCGTGCAATGTCGCTATGATCCTGGGTGGGAGACCTACAAGAAGTGGTGGTGTCGAGGAGCCGAGTGGAGTAACTGTCGTATCCTTGTTATAACCAATGGATCAGAGGAGGAAGCAAAGAGTAACCAAGTGTCCATCAAGGACAATCGGAAACTGCACACATTCACTGTGACCATGGAGGAGCTCAGGTGGAATGATGCAGACACCTATTGGTGTGGGATTGAGAAATCTGCAACTGACCTTGGGGTTGAAGTCAAAGTGACCATTGACCCAGGTAAGAGTATGTAGAAGTGTGGCGGTGTGTCTTCAGGGCCTGCTCTGTCCTGGGCCCTGAGGTTCCTCTCCAGTGACTTCAGTGTCACTCAGTGTGAACTGTCACACAGGGTGGTGGAGTCCTGAGTTCTCCTAGAACCTGACTAACCCCTAGAGTTTGGGGAATGGACAGGGCTTCTCTTAGATGCTCTCATGGCTCCCAGCACCTCCTCCAGGATGGAATCAAGCTTTTCTGGGCACATGTTTCTCTGCACAGCTCAGTCAGTGCCTGGTCTATTTCCCACAGAGATCCAGGTGATGGTCCCAGTTTCAGCCTATGGGCCAAAGGGACATTCTCCCATGGGACCCAGAAACCCCAATTCCTGCCAATGCTTTCCTGACCTCTGGTACTTGTGTCTCTGCTCTTTCTGGAGTTTGGGGCTGGGACTCAGAGTGGCTGTTCCCATCCCCTGTTTCATATCCAGTGTCAGAGAGAAGAGTGCCAGCACAGTCAGGGTGCTGTGAAGATTCCTGAGGTCCAGAATGGCCTCCACAGTCAAAGCGCTGTTTAAATCTATCAAATACTCCTATCCATATCTCTGAGATGATCATATGATTTTCTCCTTTACTGTGTTAATGTGGCATATTATACTTATTAATACTCTCATGTTCAAACAATTTTGCATTCTTTGAATAAACTCAATTTAGTGATGATATATTATCTTGTTTATATATCCCTGGATTCAGCTTGCTGATTTTTGGTTGTAGACTTTTGCATTTATGTTCATGAATGGATTTGCCTATAATATTTCTTATTGTACTGTCCTTCTCAGGTTTTGAAATCAAGATTATGATAGACTCATAAATGGATTTGGGATTGCATCCTCTTTTCCTATGTCCTGGAGTTTTTTGTGTAAGATAGACATTATTTCTTCCTTAACTGTTTAGTGGAAATCTCCACTGTAGCTCTGTGTCAGGAATTTCCTTTTGGAGAGGTGTTTTGTTTTTTTTGTAAGTAAGCTCTACACGTAACATGGGGCTTAAATTCCTGATGCTGAGATCAAAGTAGCGTGTTCTAAGGACTGAATGAGCCAGGCGCCTGTTGGAGAGATTTTTAATAATGAATATGGTTCATTTAAATAGTTGTAAGATGATTAAAGTTTTCTCTTTGTGTCTATTTTAGCACATTGTATAAGTTTTGCTACAAATTTTTTATTTCACTCTGAGTTTCAATTTTATTGGCTTAACCTTGTTTAGATATCCTTTATTATCCTATTCCCTAATTATCTTACCTTCTTATAATATGTGCAGGATACTTTGTGAGTACCCTTTTTCGCCCCTGGTGTCAATTATTCAGATCTCTCCTTTTATCATGAATATCCCTCTAGGGTTTTTGTTTTTGTTAAAAAGTCAATTGTTGGCTTTTTGGTCTTCTCTATTTTATATTTCTTTTCTACTTCAAATTATTATTTTTTCTTGTCTTCATTATTTCCTTTCTTCTACTTTCCTCTGTAAGTCACCATGCAGTGTCACTACGGCCCAGAGTGGGACACCTACGTGAAGTCCTGGTGTCAAGAGGCTGATCTGAATGGCTGCAACATCCTTGCTCAAACCACTGGATCAGAGCTGAAGAAGAACCATGTGTCCATCAATCAGAAAAAGCGCACATTCTCCATGCGCATATGGGGAGAGTAAAACAACTTTTGAGAAAAATAAGCTGTTGTTTTCTTGAGTTTCTTGCTCCCAAGCGTTTTACAGGATGGCAACCCTGCTCACACCCCTATCCTGGAAATTTAGATAAGGACCCAAGCTTAGAATTCCTCCATAAGTTCCTTCTTTGATTTTTCTGGGGCACTTTTTAAATTAACAACTTGGAGTTGATTCTGTGAAAAATCAGTGACCTCTCGTGAGTCACTTGTGAGTCACTTGTGAGTGACTCCCTTGTAAGTCAAAGGGGCCGTCACCCTGCTCTCAGTTTCCTGCTTGCTCATGGTCCAGGATGGGGGGCTGCCCTTCCCCAGGCTCACTGAATGCCTCTCCCCTGGATCTGTAAACAATAAATTTTGAGACTCTGCTTCCATTGTGTGTGTGTATTGAAACTGTGTCTTTAATTAAAACATCCCTGGGTGGTTCATGTCCCTAAAGTGAGAGTGTGGCTATTGAGGGAGCTACCTACCTGCCCACCCATGTGGGTGGTTGTGCCTTCTCATCCAGCAGGTGGAGATCTGCATATTCTTAATTCCATGAACCAGCTCTGACTTCTAAGTATACCCAGAGGAACTCAGGCAAATCAATGCAGACACAGCCTGGTGTGGGATTAGGAGTGTTGGAGATGACTGTGGGTCCAAGTTACATGACCATTGACCCAGGGAAGTACTCTTCTCTCATGCACCATTGGCATCTCCGTGGCAAGAGGGAGCTAGTGAAGAATTGGGCAGGTATGCCAACTTTTATATTTATTTGTGGGTTTTTAGAAATAGAAATTTTAAAAATACACAAAACGTAATGTAGAAAAGTATGTTTTGTTTTCTACACTACTTCCTTACCCAAAGGTAAGGACTATAACAAGCATGTGTGTCTGTGTGTGTCTGTGTGTGTGTGTAAGAGATAGAGAGTATGTGTGTGTGTCCATTGATGACATTCTATGCATCCAAAGTATATATGTGTGTGTATATCTTTCCTTTCCTCACTGAAAAATAGCATGTATTGTTGTCTCAATGTATTTTAAAAATCATTCTATAACAATACCTATAGATTTTTGTTTTTAATGGCTTCATTGTATTCCATGACATTTATATATCATGAATTGTTTTTGCTTGTGATGGACATTTCCTTTGTTGTTGTTGTTGTTGTTGTTTTGCAACTGGGTGCAATTCTGTAGTGAATCTCCTTGCATATGGGGTTTGATACACATTTGTGGATATACATGTAGGTACACTCCCATTTAATAAATAGCTGTGTTACTGGTCAGTGCATTTTCCAATTTGGTGCATATTACCAAAAAGATTATAAATTTCTACCCTTCTCTCAATGTGTTAATAAATGCCCACCCCATATCCTCATCATTGGATGTGGTCAATTCTTTACCTTTACACTGTGATTGGCAGACTTGGCATTTTGATGCACATAACCGGGCTCCAGGCAGAGGAGAATGCTGTGGTGGATGGGAGTAAATGAGAGAGGAGGAGGAGTAGTAAAAGGCTGCCAAGCAGCGAGCTACCAGGCTGGTGATGCTGGGTGAGCTGAGAACCAACGGGACACCTGCCCGCATTGAGAGAGAGAGGTTCCAGGCCGCCACCTGCTCCAGCTTGCAGACCCTCTCAGACACCTCCCTCCCCACACTAGACTTTGGCAAATATCAACTTACATTTATAAATGGAGTAGCACCTTCAAAAGTTTATGGGTGAAAAGAATAGAAGAAAGAATAGAAGCTCAAATAAAATAAAAACCATACTTCACAAGAGGAAATGCCCAAGGGCTGGCCATGAGTGTCAATGCTGGGTTTGCACCTTCCAGGGGAGATTGGTTACATGTAGTGGTATTGGCCCATAAGTAAATATATAAAAGCTTCCGGAAGTCAAGTTTCTCACAGTGTGAGAGGGGAGTCACAAATAGAGAAAACCAGAAAATTAGAAAGAGCCCTGTGGTTTTGGGTGGGAATTGGGGATCTTGGTGGGAACTGACAGTCTTCAATGGATGTGGATATAAATGTGAATACAACAGAGAGTATGTTTCTATCATTTATCTGTATATGTAGGTGTGTCTGCAGAGGACCTAGGAAAAAAGGCACCCTAATAATTAGAGAGCACTCAGCTCCTGGCCCTTTGGCTTCTTGAAAATCATTCTCCATTAAAAGGAAGTAGAGTTCTTTGAGAAGTGGCTAATTCCAGGGCTGGGACACCAAACCCACAAGCTGAACCTTGGATATCTTGTTATGTCACAAAAAAGGAAGAACTCAAGGGCTAGAGAGACACATCAAAAGGGCAGAAAGTTGCTTGAAGTGGCTCCCAATGGCCAAATCTGGGACAATTTGAACATCAAAACACATAAAGGTAGTAATGGAGTGTAAACCCATGGAGCAAAATAAAAGCCATTTCAGTATATATTGGTATAAGCAAATAAAAGACTAAATAGAAATTTGGTGAAGAACTGGTGATTTACATTGTTTCAAAACTTTCATTGACAACTACTGCATGTGAGGCAGACACACAAGTCCTCTGAGTATCTCCCTGATTCTAGGCAAATGGGGCTCAAGAAACCATATGGGTCATTAAACATTTCATTTTACACATGGAGAAATGGAGGCCAGACAGAAGATATTTGCCCAGTGCCACAGAGCCAGTGGCACCTGAGCCAGAACTGAAAACAAAGTCTTTGATCCCAAGTCTGGTGTAGTTTCTATACCTCCCAGGATGTGCAAGGTTGTTTCTGTCTAGTAAACAGTTATGTTTTGGCATACCCACTTTACATTGGGTCCTATTCCAGATGAGACCACCATATAAAGAATAATCACAGACACTGTTAGTCTAAGTGTTTCATCTTAGCACTCTCTGATCTGTAGAAATCCAGGTAAGTATCCCCTAAAATGTCCTCCGCCATCATTCTAGACACTTGTAAAGACTTCTCAACTAGTGGGTCCTTGATATTTTCCCTGATTAGGGCTTTGACATATGAATTTGGTGGGGGGCAACACGAACATATAGTTCCAATAAAATGGTTCAATATTAAATATGGACACAAAAAAAGAGTAGACAGAGCTCAGGAAGAATGTAAGTGGAAAAGAAAAAGCCCCAAAACCCTTATTGAGAGGAAACATATATACCTTTGAAAATAAAAAAGAATAAGTCTTGTGTTATTTTTTGATGAGTGAGGCAGAAGAAGTTAAACACAAAGGGCTGTGCATTCTGGACTTGCCATTGTTCAGCTGGTGTGTGTGGGAGGGTGGTGTGAGGGTAGGTTGGGGAGGTGGAAAGGCCAAAGATCAGGCCAAACCCAAGAGTGGATGATGGTGAGTCTGAGCTGTCTGGGGGATGGGCAGCATCACAGCTGTGATGGGGACAGATCTGAGCCTCTTAGACTGTCCTCTCTAGATGGAAAAGTCCAAACAGACCCTAAGGACCAGTGGGGCCAAGGGACAAATGGAGGGACAGAAATGAACTGTTTCTTGTGACCACTGGGTGAGTGCCCTATGCCCAGAGGCCACTGATGTAGATACAGGTACAGGTGGGTATTTACGTTGTTTCAAAGCTCCTCCCCACAAAACACTTATTACTTACAGAGGGAAAAAGAGAAACTTTAATGAATTTTGTCAAATTTATAGTCATAAATCCATACCCCTAGTAAGATCTTGTTTGACACGACAGTAACTCAGGTATTCCAGGCTTTAAAAAGCTGATTAGGCTGTGCGCTTAGCATGTGAAGACTTTGTAAGGTTTGAGGTATACATAAACCACAATACACTTTTTTAAATTACAGAAAATAATTTCTAGACATAGATCCCTATACTTTTCTTTACCTTTCTTAGCCATCAGTGAAATTTTGCATCTGCATATGAAGAACCACCATTGGGACCCCTTTGAGGGGAAAAAGGAGCTTATCCAGCCCTCTCACTTTCTACTCTCTCATCTCCCTGTTGCTGGAAACATTCTAAATCTACATTGGATTTAGAGTACCTTTACACTGCCTAGAAGGAAAGGGTCAGCCTCTCACATATAAAACATTCAAGTAGTGTCCCAACAAAAAATAATTCATAAGAGGGTGCAGCAAGCCATGGATTTTAATAGGAAATATACAGTGCAAACAGACAGGATGTGGGTTGGGTAATGGTCCAACTCTGCCTTCAATCTTTTACATTCAGGCAATTCTTTCTCTGGGAGGTACTGATGCAGCAGAAGGTGGAATCAGCAGACCTTTGTACAGCTGGCCTATCAGGGATATTTGTCCATGTGAACACACTCCCAAGCTTTTTGGTTTAATTGAGGTTTTATGCTTGCTGGTTGGTCTGGAATTGGAAAACCCATCATTGGCCAGAGTGTTGAATGATGTAATAGTCAATTATCCTCGGCAGAGCCACTCCAGAGTCACAAGGAAAGGAGGTAACAGGAAGATCCACACAGGAGGATTCTCTGCTGCTACATTGAAAGCCAGGGTTGCTGACCTGTTCAGGGCAGTGAGGGAAACAGTTTATTCCTGAGGCCAGGACAAGGGGAGTCTTCACCTAACAGGGACCTTCATCTCTCTTGGAACTGCAGTCACTGCCCTTTCCCTGATCAGAGGTCAGAGGGTGTAGGGGTGTCCATGGGGTGGAGGCTGTGGTTCTCCTGCACAGGCTGATTTACATCTCTCTAAGTTCCCCTGACTCCTACTTGACCACATCACAGTAACAGCAGGTCTCAAGAAGGGGAATCTTCACGAAGGCTGAGAGCACAAAGGAAGGTTGTGTAGCAGGGCCCTGTGCAGGGAACATGGTGACAGGAGTGAGCTCCCTCTTCAGGGGATGCCCCAGGCCTTACCTGTCTGCTTTCACCTATATCCCACCCATATAACCTGTTAACCTTCTGGCTTCTCCTGGGAGGGGTTTTTCCCCACTCTGACCCCCATGTGGTAGAGCATAGCAGGTGCACTATCACATACACCTTGTACATGGACACATGGTCTCTGCACCATTGTGCCCTTGCTCACATATGTCCCCCCTGGAAATCCCCATCAGTATCTGGAATTTGACCCCCTCAACCTCTGTCCCCTCAAATCCCCCACAAGCCATGCCAGGAACTCTTGCAGGCTGACCTTGTTCTCTTCTTCTGCCTACCTTGAGCAAGATGTGTCATGTCCATTTCACAGAGAGTTTTCTTGAGAGAGAGGATATGCTTCCTTGAACTTCCTAAATTATCCTTTAACCTACTGTACTCTCTTTACAAGTTCTGCTTGCTGCAGGGCTGCTGACCCCTCTCTCTACCCGCAGCTTCCTCCTGTGCCCTTCAGTCTCCTAAAAGTCCTGCATCCTCCCTCCCACTCAATAGAACAACTGGTCTCCAAACAGTCATGAGCAGGACAAAAGCTGGTTGTGAAGCATGAGCCAAGTGCCTGGCCTCATTTTCACACATGACTAAACACACTGCTCCGCAGGGCCAGGGTCCAAGGAATAGGGTCCTTGAGAATCGAAGGAAGAAGGAAAGGAGCTTGAAGGAGGGTGCTGAAGGGTGCTTCTGGGAGGAAATGCACCATCACCCTGGTCTGGGATGGGGTGAAACTGGGGCAGGGTGTTTGCCCTTGAAGAAAGAGTTAATTGATTGTTTCTTGGATGCCTGTTGAGGTGGTGGGTTTCAGATTGATGGCCCAGCCTGTTGACTATGTTGGGAATGTGAAAAAGGAGAAATTCCAGTTTCCTACCCCTTCCCAGCATTTCCCTAGCATTTGGGGAGAACAGGGATGGATCCATGGGACAGGTACCTACACAACTGTCTGTGGGCAGAATAATGCCCCCCACCCAAAAATGTCCTAATCCCTAGACCTGTGAATGTGTTACGTTATGTGGCACGGGGAATAAATGATGCAGATGGATTTAGGATTGCCAAGCAGTTGACTTTGAGATGGGGAGGTGATCCTGGGATATCTGGGTAGATCCTATAGAATTACAATGTCTTTATAAATGAAAGCACATGAGAGAGCCAGTGTCAGGGTAATGTGGCTGAGAAGGACTCGGCCACCCTTGCTGGCATATGGAAGGGACCATGAGCCAGGGGTGCAGTGGCCTACAGAAGCTGGAAAAGACAAGAAGTGTTTCTCCCTTAGAGCCTCAAGGAGGAACCAGCCTGGCCAGCACCTTGGGTTTAGCCCAGTAAGACTCATCCAAGACCTTGATCTCCAGAACCTTAAAATCATAACTTTGTTTTGTCTTCAGCCACCAGGGTGGTGGCGATTTGCCCCAGCAGCCACAAGGAGCTAATCCAGAGCTTGTCCCTTCTGGTAACTGGAGGCTGAAAGCACTTGTGCCTGTTTTGGCTTCTTGGGGGTCAGAAGGAAGATCCAAAGGAGACCAGAAGCTTCTCTCCTGCAGCCCAGCTGAACAACTTTGCTTAGATTTCTGGTGGGGAGGGGGAGCTCTTTAAGGACTCAGAGGTATAAAGAGGGGGCCCAGTGCAGACTTTGCTGTTTGTCCCCTGCACAGGAAACATCAGAGGAGCCAGTGAGGTCCCTGTCAGAGTGCCCTGAGGGGAGCTGTCCCAAGGCAGCAATGGGAAGGTCTGTGGGGTACAGGTCTGCTCACCTATTTAGTGGGTTATTCAAATCCATGGGCTGGCTGCTGTTGATGCCCTGGGTAGATGGAAGAGTAGAAGTCCAACTGGGTAGCGTTGTTGTTGCCACAGTCTGGGGAGGGTCTGTTGGATCAGGGGCTAAACACACAGAGTAGGACAAGGTTCTGAGTGTCACAGGCGGCTCCCATGGTCTTTTCCACCCCCCACCCCCCGGGGTGCAGAACTTTCTCTCTTAGTGCTACTGTTCAGTTACGTTGGTCTTCTCTTGCTCCTTTGCTTTCTATCCCAAACATATGATTACTTATTTGCAGAGCAACATGAGTTTACTTCCTTGTGAGGGATTTGGGGTTGCTGATTATGTAGGAATTCACATTCAATTTAATCTCAGTGTTCTTTGGCGGCACAGCTGAGCATGTCAGAACCATGTTCCTAATCCCTGGAGCCTTAAATCAGCCAGGCAGGCTCTTTTCTGAGTCTCAGCCTTGCCTGAAGCAGGCTCTGTGCCACCTGTCCTGAAGCAATGTGATTCATGAGCTGGCAGACACAGGGTTCCTCTGCTTCTTGGGTCCACCGAGTGCCCACAGCCTCTGCTTCCTCATGGGGTCCTTTCTGCCTCCCTGGGTCTTGTTTTCTTATTTCTCCAGGACTGCCTAGGGAAGGTCGTCTGGGTTAAGGGTCCAGACTCCAGTTCTCGGGCACCAACTCCTCCTCCACTCATGCACACATCTTCCCACCTTTGTTGTCCTTTTCAGTTAATTTCTGGAACATTCTACACAAGTATATCTCTACACTCCACACATTTGCACACTATATGTGCATATGCTTAGTTTGAAGGGACTTCTCTAGAAGTCCCTTCTCTAGAAATGGAGTGTTGAGGGGCGCCTGGGTGGCTTAGTCAGTTAAGCGTCCGACTTTCGCTTAGGTCATGGTCTCGCAGTTTACGGGTTCGAGCCCCACGTCGGGCTCTGTGCTGACTGCCAGCTCAGAGCCTGGAGCCTGTTTCAGAGTCTGTATCTCCCTCTCTCTCTCTGACCCTCCCCTGCTCACGCTCTCTCTCTCTCTCTCTCTCTCTCTCTCCTAGAAATAAATAAAAATATTTTAAAAAATGTCTTAGAAATGGAGTGTTGAACAGCAGATCCATTACCTACCTGGTGTCTGTCTCTGTGTCTGTGTGTTGGAGACAAGATGCAGGGTCCAGAGGCAGAGCGGTGGGATGGGGGCTACAGATTGAGTCTCTTTCCAGGCCTGTCTCTAGGGAGGCCCTAGTGTTTCTGGGGCAGCTCAGGGGAGCCTGGGGGCCCCTCCAAGGATAGAGGCAGCAAGAGGAGAAGGTGGCCACAACACAGTGGAGCATGCCTTTCCTTCTCCCAGAACTGGATGCAGAGTCCCACACCTACTCCTTTGTGCTGATGTTGCCAGAGGGAGGAGGGGAAAAAGAGGGCTCAGGGGGAGGGTCTCTTGTCCTTAAGTAAGACCCTCAGGATCATGGCTTTCTGGCACCCTACTCCTCTCTGTACGCCTGATAATGCCCCATGCAGGATGGGATGTGATCAGGAAAAGAGGAGCTGCCTGGGGTGCCTGGGTGGCTTAGTCGGTTAAGCGTCCGACTTTCGCTCAGGTCATGATCTCGCGGTTCGTGGGTTCGAGCCCCGCGTCGGGCTCTGTGCTGACTGCCAGCTCAGAGCCTGGAGACTGTTTCAGTCTGTGACTCCCTCTCTCTCTGACCCTCCCCTGCTCACGCTGTCTCTCTCTCTCTCTCCTAGAAATAAATAAAACATTAAAAAAAAAAAAGGAAAAGAGGAGCTGCCTTCCCTGGACAAGTCTGTTCTTCTCTGCTCCCTCTGGGGAGACCAGATGGAAATGTGTGGAGGTGTGGGGGCTCAGTCTTTCTTTCAGTCTTTCCCCAGACTCTTGGTGTCCCCATCCATGCTTGCACATGCACACACATGCTCACATAAGCACACACACATGTATAGCCTCAGGAGAGTTTTGAGATTCCTTTCCATCTACCCAGAAAGGCAGAGGTACAGTCCTGACTCCTCTGGGGATGGATCTCAAGACCCCAGAGCACAGGAGGGGTAGTCCCTACCTGGGTCGACAACCACGGAAAATTTGTATCCTAGGTCATTGCCGGTTCGCTCAATCCCACACCAGTAGATGTCTGTGTCATCCCGACGGAGATCCTCCAAGGTCACAGTGAATGTACGTCGACTGCGGTTCTCCTGGATGGACGCTCTGCCCTTCTTCACCAGTTTCTCTGACCCGGTCGTCTTAACAAGGATTTTGCAGGAATTCCAATTCTTCCCTCGACACCACCACTTCCTATAGGATTCCCATCCTGTGCCGTACTCACAGGATGTGATCAGTGTGCCCCCCTCTATGCCTCTCACCGTTCTCTCCACACAGGTGGAGAAGTGGCCTAGAAAACAGAAAGCCAACATGCATCTCATCTTTCCTTGGCCCAGAGCTGACCCGGGTGCTGCTGGGGCTTCTGGTCCTGCCCTGAAGACTGGCTATCCATCTCCCACAGAATTTCTTTTCTATCACCCCTCTTGTGAATCCTCCTTAAGGCTCCTAACTGCTTGATACAGGGCCCTCCACTCACTCGCCATCCTACTGACCAACCCCTCCCCCCTCCCCCTCAAGCAGCAGCTCTTCCTGACAGCACAGAGTGCACACTGCAGCCACAGGTGTATTACTGAATCCCAGAACTGATGAGGTAGTGTGGCCCCTTCCCCATCCCAGCCCCTGACACTCTAACCCACACACACCTACAAACCTTCAGCCTCCAAATTGACATGTGACATGAATTAAACACACACACACACACACACACACACTTACACAGGTGATTGCTAGGTTTTTTTTTTTTACTTACACACCTTGCACTTCCATGTATCTAAAACGTCAATTGATGAGTAAATGGGGGTCATTTTATTTCTCATGATAACTTCTTGCCTAGAAGAGATACTATCTGCATCCTACCTCAAGCTTAGTGGTTCTGGAAGATGAGAAGGAACAGAGCTGGGACAGCCAAAGGGTTCTGCACTAGCTACCGTCTTCTCTGAGCATAGAGCACCAGCTGCCTCCAAGGATTTGACATCCAGCCCACAAATAGTCACCTTCTCATCTCTGGTCTTTCCCCCCAGGTGAAACACTCAAAGTGTCTTGTTTGTTGCTCTATGACATTGCATGACAGTCTGATCTTTGGATCATCCAGAGCATAGACTCAAGCAGGCTGATGTGTGGGGTTGAAGAACTCTCCAGAGAGCCTGTCACACCGTGGTTTTGCTGCCTGTCTTCCTCTCTGTAGTCTGAGTTCTTCAGAAGAGAGATTCCCGGCTCGAGCTACAAGTTAAGACCAGTTGTTTAGGCTTTTAAATTATCCCGATGGCTGAATCCCACCTTGAGTGAGTGGGTCTCAGCTGGAGACTGATCATCTGTGCTCCTTAAAAGTTCCTCAGGAATTATTCATGTATGTTTGTATATATGAGTGAAAGTATGTGCCTGTCATCTATCCGTCCATCCATCCATCCTCCATCCATCCATCCATCTATCCATCTGTCTATCAATCTATTTGCCAGGGTTGACAAACAGTGCCCTAGGAAACAGACACCATTTACATTATTTATTTTTCTTTTCATTCCTCAATACCTAACTTAGTACCTCTCAGGTAACAAAACTTAAAAAAATTTTTTTTTAGGGACACCTGGGTGGCTCAGTCAGTTAAGTGTCCAACTTCAGCTCAGGTCATGATCTCGCAATTCGAGGGTTAGAGCCCCATGTCAGGCTCTGTGCTGACAGCTCTGTGCTGACAGAGCTTGGAGCCTGCTTTGGATTCTGTGTCTCCCTCTCTCTGCTCCTTCCCCACTCATGCTCTGTCTCTGTCTCTGTCTCTCTCTCTCAAAAATAAACATTTAAAAAAAGAAGTTAGATTTCAAAAATATATTTTTTAAATCTTTAGAAAAAACGTATCTTGATGAATGAAAGACCCTGCCATTTTCTCCAGGACAGGCTCTATCTGAATCTCACCCAGATCCTCCAGGTACTTGGTCCCGAAGCCCCCACCTCACTCACCTTGGACGATGAGAAGGAACAGAACTGGGAGCAGCCGCATGTCTTGCCTGCCTGGCTTGTCTCACTGGTGCTCAGCAAATGCCAGCTACCCTCCAAGAACTTAAACTGAGCTCAAATGCAACCTTCCTTCTTTTCTTCTAAATTAATCTTTTTTTGGTTTCTCTCATCTACTTCCCTTAATTTTTTTCTTCAGTTACTTCCTAATTTCATTAATTGCAAAGCAGTGGCGACTGTTAGGAGCATATAGCTGACGTGATGAGGTGTGCCCTCGCCTAGCTCTGGCGCCTCAACTCAGCACCCCCTGGAGTCTGACCCTGAAGACCTTCTCCCAGGGGAGGGTCCTTGCACCCCCCCCCCCACTCTGTAGCACCACCTCCAGTCTGTGTGTACCTACTTCCTGCCTCCCCCCATCTCCCAGCCCAGTTCTCCACTTCAATGGTTTTGGTGTTTTTGTAGAGCTGTCCACCCTGTGAGCAGCTCAGATGTGCTCCAAATGCCATTTCTTGTCATCTTCACTCTTAAAGTCAATCTGTCCCAACACCTGGTCCCTGGGCCCAGGGCTCCCTCTCCAGGAAGACCTGCCCCCACCACACTAGTCTTCCGTAGACAAAGACCATGGGAGCTTCTCTCTGCCACCTGCACCCTCAGACGACCTTGAAGGGATGGGGGGCTTGGAGGTAGAACAGCTCAGGGCTTTGCCAGAGGAGTAGGAAAGAGCATGGTGGGCCAGCCCCAGGAGGGAAGGGGAAGAAGAATCCCTGTCCCCTTCAAGGTCCTCCTGGCTGGACTAAGAATCAAATTGACATGAGACAAATTAACAAGAGAAAATCATATTTTTTTAAATGTTTTATTTATTTCTAGGAGAGAGAGAGAGAGAGAGACAGCGTGAGCAGGGGAGGTCAGAGAGAGAGGGAGTCACAGACTGAAAGAGGCTCCAGGCTCTGAGCTGGCGGTCAGCACAGAGCCCGACGCGGGGCTCGAACCCACGAACCGCGAGATCATGACCTAAGCAAAAGTCGGACGCTTAACCGACTAAGCCACCCAGGCACCCCGAGAAAATCATATTTAATAACATACGTGCAGGGAGTCCACACAGACATGGCAGTCAGGCAAAAGAGGCACCAATGTCATCCCGATTTAAGGAGAAGGGGGTAGAGGTCTGAGATTTCAAAGGGAAGGAACCAGTAAATGTTTGGTGCACAAATGTTTGCCCTGCCAGATAGATGGGTCATACTCAGATCAAATTTAAATTTAAGCTTCTCTGAAATTTCACACATTAACAGCTGTGCTGGTACGTGTTTCTTTCCAGTGAACCAGTCTATTTGTCCAGACAGTAGGTCAATTTATACAAACTCATTCCAGAAGGCAGTGATGCAGATGTATTCACAACATTAGGCCTGTGGTCCAAGTAATCATGTATGAAACAAGAGGCTTTTCTATGGAAACAAAAGGAACACAATGGTTCTGAGGGGATCAAATGTTAAGCCAGTTTCTGAGTTGTGAGGGCAGCAGGTGGAGCAGACTTCTAGATGTTGGACTCGGAGCATCTCAGATAGAGTGAGGGCAGGCTGTGCAAGCAGACAGATCCTCCGGGTTTGTAGTTCAAGTGTGTCTGGTGAGATTTCTGCTTGGCCCCCCAGGCAATAGGCACAAAGATTGTGTATGTGTGAGCTAGTGTGGTGATTTCTCTAAGTTTACGTAAGTGGTTTACATTTAGTTGGCAGAACTTCAGGGAAAGGGCAGTTTTCGTTCTAAAGGATTCCAAGTCAGAAAGGTGGGAGAAAGCTCAAAATGTCCGTTTGGAGAGTTGTAGCCAGGCGGTAGAAGACACTAGAAGAAATCAGGACCTCACCCAGTATATAATGATAGTATTAAAATCTAATATGTGCAAAGATGTTTTATTGAAACATATTTTCTCTCTATAATCACCCTCACTTTGTCCAAAGATAACCAAGTTAACACTAATTTGTAAAGTAAGTCATTCCCCTAAAACTTAACCCAACTATTTACATAAGTACAGCAAGAATTGTAGTTGATTTTTAAAACCTGCTTTGAGAGACTCTTGTCTTGAATGCTGAGAACAAACTGAGGGCTGATGAGTGTGGGGGTGAGGGGAAGGGGGTTGATGGGCACGGAGGATGGCACTTGTTGGGATGAGCACTGGGTGTTATATGTAAACCAAATTGACAATAAACTATTGAAGGAAAAAAATCCTGCTTTGCTAGGGGTGCCTGGGTGGCATAGTCTGACTTCGGCTCAGGTCATGGTCTCACGGTTCGTGAGTTCAAGCCCCACATTGGGCTCTGTACTAACAGTGGAGAGCCTGCTTGGATTCTGTCTCCCTCTTTCTGTGCCTTTAAGCTGCTTGCTCTCTCTCTGTCTCTCAAAGGAAGCAAAAATAAACTTTAAAAAATTATTTTAAGAAATATTCAAGGAAAATACAAAAGGTTACACAGTTGTGAGCAAAATTTAACACCATGAATATTAATACTCAGTTTTCTTATGTAATCGAAAACTGATAAACATAGGGAATAATTTTGACACGCACAATCATAGATTTTTAGGAAGATAACTTAAAATATAAAGAAAAGGTTTTGCTTACAATTTCTTAGGGAGAGAAGACCAATAGTTGAAGAAAACTCTGTACTTTTAAAAAGAGAAAACAGAAACTGCACCAGCGTGCTTTTTGTGTTAAAACTCATTTACTCCTTTAAATTTATCATAATCTTAGCCAGTGTGGGCCACACATAAAACTTCTTTCCAAAGATTCTGTCTTCATTTACCTTCTAGAACTTTCTTTTTTACATTCAGATTTTGCCCTAAATGTTTCATCTTGAAATAACTGGTCTCTCTGTAGACAAAATTATTTTCTATTCCCTCAACTAAATATGTCTTTTTATTCTTTATACTTTTTCTTACCAAAAACACATTTTACTTTCTTTATAATACAGAGTTGTTTCCCTTATTATGTCCAGTAATCTTAATTACATAGATTTTTATTTTTATTTTTATTTTAAGAAAGACAGAGACAGCACAAGTGGGGAAGGGGCAGAAAAAGGAAGAGAGAGAGAGAGAGAGAGCGAGCAATTGACATAGGGCTCAAACTCACGAAACTGTAAGATCATGACCTGAGTTGAAATCAAGAGTTGGACCCTTGACAGGCTAAGCCATTCAGGCACCCCACATTTACTGGAATTCTTAATGCTTAGACACCTTAATTTTTAGTGAAAACTAAGTAGTAAGCAACTGTAAAACTTGGTTACCCAAGAATCCTTTAGATTGGCAAATTTATGAATATATTTTATAATTTTTAGAAACATGTGCCTTTTTCATAATACAATCTTTCCATAAAGCATGAAATCTGTTTATTAACAGGCCGAAATACATCTTTAGTTTTGCTATAATAAGACGAAAGTAGATATTTTACCATATATACATCTGTATGATTTAACTTGTTTTTAACAATTATGCTTAGACTGCACCTAAACTTCATGAGGCATATGGCAAAAACACCAGTTAATCTAAGGTTTCTTTTTCTCCTGATCAAGTTTGCAACAGCCATGTCATGAACCTTATATGACTTTTAGTAAATACAAGCAGAATAAAAGTTTTCTATTTAAAGCTGAGAAATCTACAGACATATCTATTTTAAGGAAACCAACAACCTTAAATTAGCTTTACTACCAAATATGTTCCCAGATTGTGTGAGTTTGATACATGCTTGAGTGAGTTTTCACCTTTCAGAATTTTCAAATGCCCAATCCTTACAAGTGTTTATCTTCAAACTAACTAGATAGAGTAATAGAGCTCTTTTGCAAATTAATGTTAGCAGTACCACCTGGAGGTAGAGAAAATATCTCACATTTACAACATACATGGACACACACATACACACACACACACACACGCATACACACTTAGTACACAGACAAGATGCAAACAAAATCCTGGGGCGCCTGGGTGGCTTAGTCGGTTAAGCGTCCGACTTTTGCTTAGGTCATGATCTCGCGGTTCGTGGGTTCGAGCCCCGCATCGGGCTCTGTGCTGACTGCCAGCTCGGAGCCTGGAGCCTGTTTCAGTCTGTGACTCCCTCTCTCTCTGACCCTCCCCTACTCACGCTGTCTCTCTCTCTCTCTCTCCTAGAAATAAATAAAAAAAACATTAAAAAAAAAAAGATGCAAACAAAATCCTAATTTTATTTCTACTAATCCTTGTGGAGAGGGCATTACAGGCCCAAATTTTAAATACTTCTCTTTATTTTGTGTTTTGTTTTAATGAAAAACTTTTCTCTAAAGTTCACATGTTAAGAAATGGCCCATAGGTCTTAGTGAAGATGGAGATAGAGAATTTATATCACAAAAGCACAGAGCAAGGGTCTCACTTTCCTCCAGGGGGGATCCTTGGAGCCTCTCTACCTTTTACCAGAGGGTCTGGAGTCTGGACACATGAGTCCTGCCAACAGTTTATATCTTAAAAGAGCCTCTTTCCCTTATTCTTTCTTGTTCTTCATTCTCAGGAGATTGTGGGCTATGTTTACATTTCCAAGACATGGTAAGATTTATACTTTCAAGGGATATAGAAAGAATATAAAAATTTGGGGGGCACCTGGGTGGCTCAGTCAGTTGAGTGTCCAACTTTGGCTCAAATCATCATCTCGCAGTTCACGACTTCGAGCCCCACATTGGGCTCTGTGCTGTTAGACTGTCAGCACAGAGGCTGCTTCAGATCCTCTGTTTCCATCTCTCTGCCCTTCCCCCGCTTGCGCTTTCCCAAAAATAAATAAATAATTAAAAATAATATAAAAATATTTTTCTAGATTTTCAGAGTATTGCCATTTAAAATTTTGTTTTTTAATAACAGAACATTTTTCTTCCAACATCTTGATATTTTGTAATATTCACAAGCATTCTGAGAGGACCAGGCAAGGTTAGGAGATCAATAGAGCTAGATGGGCTTTTATTGATCTCTGGATTTGTAGTTCTGGTTTTGTAGAGATTTGCAAACTAAGAACCACTGTTCCTAATTCTTTAAGACCCAAGTTACAGCCTGCATATCAACAACCGCCCCATCTTTCAAAGAAAAATTGCTTTTACATCACGGAGAATTATAGCTAAAATGGAAACCAATAGTTTTATGCCTTTGTAAAGTCTGTCAAAAGCATTTTAACAGGGGCACTTGGGTAGCTCAGTTGGTTAAGCTTCCAACTGTGGCCCAGGTCATGATCTCACAGTTCATGAGTTCGAGCCCTGCATAGGGCTCTGTGCTGACAGCG